TAAACTTTTCCCTGGTACTATGCCTCCCAAGGGTACGGTATACCCTCTATCCACCAAGGAAAACTTAGTTTTAGAGGAATATATCAAGGAGAATTTAGACAAGGGATTTATTAGAAAGTCTTCTTCTCCGGCGGGGGCGGGTTTCTTTTTGTAGAAAAGAAAGACGGTACCTTACGTCCTTGTATAGACTATCGGGGATTGAACAAAATTACTATCAGAAATGCTTACCCTATTCCTTTGATTACTGAACTTTTTGACAGACTAAAGGGGTCGAGTATTTTTACTAAACTTGACTTAAGGGGAGCATATAACTTAGTGCGAATTAAACAAGGAGATGAATGGATGACAGCATTTAATACCCGTTACGGGCATTATGAGTATACTGTAATGCCGTTTGGGCTTTGTAACGCCCCGGCCGTCTTCCAAGACTTGATCAATGAAGTTCTTAGAGAATTCCAACATGAATGTGTAATTGTATATTTGGATGATATACTAATCCATTCTAGAGACATTAATTCACATCATAGACAAGTCAGAAAGGTATTACAGAAACTTTTACAACATGGATTGTATTGTAAATTGAAAAAATGTAGCTTTGACCAGTCTCAGGTAACTTTCTTAGGTTACGTAATTTCCAAAGACGGGTTTATGATGGACCCGACCAAACTAAAATCGATTTTAGATTGGCCTTTACCTAAGGGACTCAAAGCCATACAAAGATTTCTGGGATTTTCTAATTATTACAGACGTTTTATTAAAGGGTACTCCTCTGTTATCGCTCCTATCACTAATATGACCAAACAAGGAGCCGATACCAAAACCTGGTCTACTGAGGCTTTATCTGCTTTCGAAACGCTCAAACAGTCTTTTGCCTCAGTACCTGTATTAGTTCATCCTGATACCTCTCTACCCTTTTTACTTGAAGTTGATGCGTCTGAAACAGGGATAGGCACAGTGTTGTCCCAAAGACAAAGTTTAGATAAGCCGCTGCACCCTTGCGGTTTTTTTTCCAAGAAACTATCACACACTGAAAGGAGATATGACATTGGTGATAGAGAACTTTTAGCTATCATTATGGCATTAAAGGAATGGAGACATTTGTTAGAGGGCACCGCCCTCCCAGTTACTATCTTGACTGACCACAAAAATTTATCGTATATGGGGGAGGCCAAAAGATTATCTGCCAGGCAGGCATGTTGGTCTATGTTCCTTACACACTTTAATTATGTGCTTACTTACAGGCCTGGTTCTAAGAACACTAAGGCAGACGCTTTGTCACGTCAGCACGAACCTACCACCTCTACAGAGGATACTTTGTTCCCTATTATTCCTGAAGTCAATATTATCGCCAACACCAATGTCAAAATACACTCTCCATTGCTCGCTGATATTATGAACGAACAATCTCTTGCTCCCGAACGTACTCCTGTGGGCCGCTTGTTCGTGTCTCCCAAATTCCAAGTGGATATTATTCGCTGTTTTCACGATAGCAAGTTCGCTGGTCACCCCGGCATCCACAAAACTTACTGCCTGATCTCCAAAGACTTCTGGTGGCCCGGTTTACGTAGGGATGTGGAAGACTTTGTCAAGGCTTGCAATGTTTGTGTCAGGAATAAACTTCCGCGGGATCTCCCTTGTGGTTTATTGCAGCCCTTAGTCGTTCCCAATAAACCTTGGGCTTGTTTGGCTATGGATTTTATTGTTGATCTACCAGCTTCCAATAGGCATACAGTTATCCTCACGGTCCTTGACAGGTTTACTAAAATGGCTCATTTTGTTCCCTTGCCTAAACTTCCGTCCTCTCCCGAACTGGCCGTGATATTTGCTAGAGAAATTTTCCATTTACATGGTATTCCCAATGAGATTGTGTCAGACAGGGGTTCCCAATTTATTTCCCGTTTTTGGAGATCCTTCTGTTCACAGTTGGGCATCAAACTGAATTTTTCTTCGGCCTATCATCCTCAATCTAACGGAGCAGCCGAACGCACTAACCAAAAATTGAGCAATATCTACGTTGTTTTGTTTCTGAACACCAGGATGACTGGGTCGGTCTGATTCCTTGGGCGGAGTTTGCTCACAACAACCTTGTTTGTGGTTCCACTCATAATAGCCCCTTTTTCTTGAACTATGGCTTTAACCCTACTGTTCTTCCGTCGGTGTCTCCTTCCCAGGGTATACCGTCAGTTGATATTCATATAGCCAACCTGAGAAAGTTGTGGGATCAGACTCGACAAATTCTTGAACGTAGTTCCGCGGTGTTTAAGTCACATGCTGATAGGCGTAGACGTCCTGCTCCTATTTTTTCTCCGGGGGATAGGGTCTGGTTGTGTACCAGACACATTCGCCTGAAAGTTTCTTCCTTGAAGTTTGCTCCTCGTTACATTGGTCCTTACAGGGTACTGAGGAGGATCAACCCGGTTTCTTATTTGCTGGATCTACCTCCCACTCTACGCATCCCTAACTCTTTTCATGTCTCGTTATTAAAACCTCTTGTTTGTAACAGATTTTCCTCCCGCTCTGCTCCTCCATCCTCGGTCCGTGTGGATGGTCAGGAGGAATATATCATCAAGTCCATCCTTGATTCTCGTATTTCTAGGGGGAAGCTGCAATACCTCATAGACTGGAAAGGTTATGGTCCTGAAGAGAGGTCTTGGGTTCCTGGTATAGGCGTGCATGCTCCTCGTCTTCTTCGGGCCTTCCACGTTCGTTTTCCTTCTAAGCCAGGTCCCATCCGCCCGGTGGGCGTTTCTAGAAGGGGGGGTACTGTCAAGGTACCTGTTGGTGATGTATCCAGGGAGGACATCCTCTCTGCTTAGGGGCTCCCTTCCCCTAGCATTTCGGCATATTTCGGCCGTTTTCGCGCCGGCCGCGCTAACTCCTCCCCCTTTTATGACGCGATGGCTAGCGTCGACGTCATGACGTCGGCATTTGCATAAAGTGCCGGGAACCGCTATTCCGGACCTTTTGGGGGCGTGGTCTCTATTTAGGTAACAGGGTATTTAAAGGAAACCTTTACTACTGCTCATTGCCCTGTCGTGGTTCTAGCTTGCTAGTCACTCAGCGCGTTCTTTATCTTGTGTTTCCGGTTTTGACCCTTGCTTGTCTTTTGTCCTGTTGTCCTCTCCTCTCCTTTGACTTGGCTTGTATCTCGCTTACCTGTCCTCCGGCTCCCTTGACCTCGGCTTACCTTTTGACTATTCTTGCTTTGTCCTTACGTTAGTCCGGCCATTCTAAGGTCCGGTATACGTACCTCCTTCTGTGCGCACTCTGCGTATTGGATCCCTGTCAGTTTCCTGACACTTCCATGAGTCTAATATTATTAACTTTTTGGATCCATTCTTTTATCGAAAGGGTTGCGGGCTTCTTCCAGTTGATGGGGAGATGAGGTGGATGACCAGTGTCCTTGCGTGTTTAGGGGTCGGGTGTGGGAGAATGAGAAAAATAAAGGTTTTAGGTGTTTTGGAGATGGGTATGCTGGTGATGACATGGATGTATGAGGCTATTATACTATTGCTCATGGTGCCTAGAGAGATATCAGCTATGCCTCACTGATGATGCCTAACAAGGCTGAAATGATCGTCTCGGGTTGCTGTATCTCTCGTGCAGAGAGAACTTGCTGGCATTTCGGATCTGGACTGCCCGTATGGGTGGGACCAGTCTGATATGCTTCAGATATGTTCTCTCTGTAATGGCACAAGATGAGCTAAAACCAGCTTGAGTTCTGAGCGGGGACCCACCGAAGGGCAGGCTATTTTAGCTGCTGTCCGTTCTCAGAATACTCTTGCGACCCATTTTTTTGCTCTCCATTAGTTTAAAGGGTAATCCAGACGTGGACCCCTTGCTCACTGTGCCTAGAGAGATATCAGTTATGCCTCATTGATGATTGCCTAACAAGGCTGAAACGATCGTCTGGTGTTGCTGTATCTCTCGTGCAGAGAGAACTTGCTGGCATTTTGGATCTGGACTGCCTGTATGGGTGGGACCAGTCTGATAGGCTTCAGATATGTTCTCTCTGTAATGGCACAAGATGAGCTAAAACCAGCTTGAGTTCTGAGCGGGGACCCACCGAAGGGCAGGCTATTTTAGCTGCTGTCAGTTCTCAGAATACTCTTGCGACCCGTTTTTTGCTCTCCATTAGTTTAAAGGGTAATCCAGACGTGGACCCCTTGCTCACGGTGCCTAGAGAGATATCAGCTATGCCTCACTGACGATGCCTAACAAGGCTGAAACGATCGTGTGGGGTTGCTGTATCTATCGTGCAGAGAGAACTTGCTGGCATTTCGGATCTGGACTGCCCGTATGGGTGGGACCAGTCTGATATACTTCAGATATGTTCTCTCTGTAATGGCACAAGTTGAGCTAAAACCAGCTTGAGTTCTGAGCGGGGACCCACCGAAGGGCAGGCTATTTTAGCTGCTGTCCGTTCTCAGAATACTCTTGCGACCCATTTTTTGCTCTCCATTAGTTTAAAGGGTAATCCAGACGTGGACCCCTTGCTCACTGTGCCTAGAGAGATATCAGCTATGCCTCACTGACGATGCCTAACAAGGCTGAAACGATCGTCTGGGGTTGCTGTGTCTCTCGTGCAGAGAGAACTTGCTGGCATTTTGGATCTGGACTGCCTGTATGGGTGGGACCAGTCTGATATGCTTCAGATATGTTCTCTCTGTAATGGCACAAGATGAGCTAAAACCAGCTTGAGTTCTGAGCGGGGACCCACCGAAGGGCAGGCTATTTTAGCTGCTGTCCGTTCTCAGAATACTCTTGCGACCCATTTTTTTGCTCTCCATTAGTTTAAAGGGTAATCCAGACGTGGACCCCTTGCTCACGGTGCCTAGAGAGATATCAACTATGCCTCACTGATGATGCCTAACAAAGCTGAAATGATCGTCTCGGGTTGCTGTATCTCTCGTGCAGAGAGAACTTGCTGGCATTTTGGATCTGGACTGCCCGTATGGGTGGGACCAGTCTGATATGCTTCAGATATGTTCTCTCTGTAATGGCACAAGATGAGCTAAAAACAGCTTGAGTTCTGAGCCGGGGCCCACCGAAGGGCACGCTATTTTAGCTGCTGTCCGTTCTCAGAATACTCTTGCGACCCGTTTTTTGCTTTCCATTAGTTTAAAGGGTATTTCAGACGTGGACCCCTTGCTCACGGAGCCTAGAGAGATATCAGCTATGCCTCATTGATGATGCCTAACAAGGCTGAAACGATCGTCTGGGGTTGCTGTATCTCTCGTGCAGAGAGAACTTGCTGGCATTTCGGATCTGGACTGCCCGTATGGGTGGGACCAGTCTGATATGCTTCAGATATGTTCTCTCTGTAATGGCACAAGATGAGCTAAAACCAGCTTGAGTTCTGAGCGGGGACCCACCGAAGGGCAGGCTATTTTAGCTGCTGTCCGTTCTCAGAATACTCTTGCGACCCATTTTTGCTCTCCATTAGTTTAAAGGGTAATCCAGACGTGGACCCCTTGCTCACGGTGCCTAGAGAGATATCAGCTATGCCTCACTGATGATGCCTAACAAGGCTGAAACGATCGTCTGGAGTTGCTGTATCTCTCGTGCAGAGAGAACTTGCTGGCATTTTGGATCTGGACTGTCTGTATGGGTGGGACCAGTCTGATAGGCTTCAGATATGTTCTCTCTGTAATGGCACAAGATGAGTTAAAACCAGCTTGAGTTCTGAGCGGGGACCCACCGAAGGGCAGGCTATTTTAGCTGCTGTCCGTTCTCAGAATACTCTTGCAACCCGTTTTTTGCTCTCTATGAGGCTATTATACTTCAGTATGTCTGGACTTTGGACAGGACCATCATATGTGGCCTGGGGAATCTTTTGTTAGGTTGCACCTTTACCATGTGGCTGAGGTGTTGGGGAAGAAGTGGTGTATCTGAATTGGTATGTAGTGCCATCTGGAGATTTGTTTGAATCTTCAGATCCTTCATGTGTAGCATTACATATGGAGGAGTGGAATATGTTGGAAAATACATTTTTCCATTTTTTTCGTGGTTAGTGAAATGAACATGTCCTTTTCCCATTGCTTGGTATATTTGGGTAGAACGTCGGGAGCTTTCTATTGGGGAGGTATAAGTTGACAAAAGTCATTGTAGATTGGACCACCAGGCCATTCACCATAATGAGTCTTCCCGAAATACTGTTTACTATATCTCTATATTTAGCTTTGTTCATGAACCTTGAAAGTACTAAAGAGAAGTGATTTTCGGAACTGTAATATATCTGCATGGACATTAATAACCTTAACATTATTAATTTTGACAATCCAGGCATTTTGAAAGTAATTTTTCTGCCTATCCAAACTCATCATAGAACATGGGTTAGAGGAAGTCGCGATGTATTCTTCTGTTTTTGGGCGATTGTGTGATCCCCAAGACTGTTGTACCTGCATCATGTTCTTAAGACAGCTGAAGATATATAATCTGGTTTCCTTTGATTGAATACCAGTCTCATGTGTGTACTGTTCGGGTGTCTAAAGAAGAAGTAAAACAAAATTCTCCATTAGGTTTGAGAATGAAAAACTCACCTGATTTAACATTTTTTAGTAACACAATGAATTTCCAGGTCGTGGAAGTATGAAACCAATAAACATTTCTTGACAATACCTTACCCATCAGCTTTTCATTAACAATTAACTTTTTTAAATTAATCGTTTAAAATTTTACTCTTAAATTGGGTGCAAAGCTGACCGAGAAACGGGTATAGTAGTTAAAATTGGAGGAACATGATCAGTTAAAATTGGAGGAACAGGAAAATTGGAGGATCTAAGCGTTATCATATCTAAACTTCCAAAATTACAGAATATTAGTGGGTGAAGCTTCATTTGGTTTAACAAAATGAATAATATAACATCCCTGGTGTGTTTCTCTAAACACAAAGCAGACACCATGCTAGAGCTGTGGTTTTACTATAGGATTTGCTTAATCCTTTTGTCCTGAATGGGTTCAATGTATATATATTTGTTTCTGTAAAAAAGGTTGATATTTAAGGTTGCACCTTCAATCTCCATGGTAAGTTCACGGAACCACTATCACTGGTAAAGTAAGACTTGGTCTTCATTCCATGGTTGAGCATAATTTCTGGTGGCATACCCTGGGTCTCGGTGATGTAGCGGATCTGCAGAGAGGAAGCAATAGATCACAACTCTTCATTAAAGTTCTGGCAGCTTCCATTAAAACTGTAACGCACGTATAATCAGCTTCTGCTCTGTCTGATTTACTGTATTTTCACAACTGATCAATAACGTTTGTGGAATTATACTTTAAAAATTACGTAAATGAATGTGAACTACCATCGTACAAAAAATCTTGAACAATTTAACTTTACAAAGAAAGGCCGACAATGTGATTATAATGTATATATAATATAACCTGTTTCCCTCCACATTGTGTTGCTTGACACACTTGCGTCAAAGAAGGTTTAGCCATTTATTTGCCAGAGGATTAATTATTTGGCATCTTGTCTCCAACCCATTTAAAATCAAGCCAAATTGACTATTTTATTTTACATTACACTTTGACTTGTATGAGTTAAAGAAATAAGACACCTACGCAATATTTTCTATGTGAATTCATTCTTGATTTCTGACCAAGATGTTAATATATTAGACATAGGTATTGAGTAGATTTGAACTCACCTGATCATATTCAGTTGCTCCAGGATATAATGGGAATCCTATGAACAGTTCCGCCATGATGCACCCCAAAGACCACATATCAATTGCTTCCCGGAATGGTAATCCCAGTATAATTTCTGGAGACCTGCAAGTTATACAATGGGGAGATAGCGAAGGAACAAGAGGGTTAGTAAAAAAGTTCACATTTAAAGCTATAAATCAACTGAAATATAGGCTTAAATCTATTAGATGTTTTGCTTCGGAGCAACAGTCTCTTTTACCGGTATTTATCGTTTTAGTCATATGAGTTCTTCAATACCATTTCCCCCACCATAATGAGAGACATGGACAGTCTATAATCATTTGCAAATACTTTAAAGTAGATTTGTTTTTAGTAAATAAGAATCATAATGAAAAACTACTGATATGGTGCAGGCCTGCCAACTGTCCAAATTGTGGCAGGATAGTGCCTACTTTAGGGTTCTTTACTGCCATCCCATTTGTGTTCCTAGGGAACAATCCCCAGTCAGCACAACATAAACACATCATTAGATGAGCTTGCACTGTGTGGTGGGCAATACGACCATGCAAAGAGCACTTCAGCAGCAATCTTCTCTGTTGGGGTCCAGCCTGTTGTCTGTCTGTCAAGGACACCAGGGTGACACACCATTTCAGTGGGCAGGCTTACCCACTACAGGCATTGTCAATGGAGGAATTTGCATCACTGGTGACAACCTCTGGGGCCCACCCACCCGCCCACCTCCATCTTGATGTCACTTTGGAACATCATATACTGGTATGATCCTGATCTGGAATTTAGTTGAAATTCTGATATATCTCTTGGGTTTAAATTACTTTAAGAAGCCTATTACAACAGTCTGTGCATACATGATAATGTATGTCAAAATCCTTTTGTTATATGTTCTACAAAGAGTTCATGAGTGACATATCCATTGACCAAATTCAACAAACATTTTACTTTATATTCATTTTGTCAGTGTAAAGAATTTAAAGTACTGACAAGCTCATCATAAAAGTAAACTATAGCTAATACATTTCTCTCACCTATAAAATCTTGTTTGTAAATAACTTGACCGTTGAGCACCATTCATGTGGATTACACTCCCAAAGTCGATGACTTTGACTTTGAATGGGTGTCTGGAAGTGTCCACCATCATAATGTTCGCAGGCTTTAAGTCTGTATGGATAATTCTCAGACTCTGCAGCTTTGCAAGCGCTGTTCCCACCTGCTGCACGATGGGGCGGATGTATTTCACAGGTAATGGATCATACTTCCGTTGGACCATGAAATCAAAGAGGCTCATTTCCATCATTTCAAACACAAGGCAGTAAAAATCCTTGCAACAGAAAAACTCAAATGCTTTTACAAAATTGAATTCTTCTGGGCTTTCTTTATTCAGATGAGTCAGGATGTTTATCTCGGCTCTGACTTGTGCTTTGGTACAGGGGTGGTTTTTAAGGATTTTGACGGCTACATTTTCACCAGTTCCTTTCTTTACACATTTTACCACATGCCCAAAAGTTCCGCTGCCCAAGAATCCCACAACTTCGTAAGCATTGGTGTTGGAGTACAGGGTTTTACGTTGCTCCAATTGTTGATCACTTTTCCTGAGAAGAGAAAGAGGAAAATAGATAATTTTAATTGAATTCTAAGATTCAGTCACACACCATCTAAATCATTGTTATTTATTTGTGGTTTAGCTATTTGTATTTTCCGAATTAGTGAATTAATACACAGATTTCATTGATTTAACAACTGACCAAAGCCGAATGGTAATCTAAGTAAGGCTGAAATAAATAAATTGGTCTTTTGTGAATAGATGTTATCACTTTGCAAACCTTCTTCTTAAAAAATTGAATTTGGGTAGCCAAACGCCCTTCAGCTGCCATTTGATGCCTAGATAATATGACTGGCAATTGTAAACACTAGGTAATTGTTAAAATGAATCCTAATCTATATAGCATATTTTCAATTAACAACTGCAAAAAAAATTTAGGTTGTTAAATTAGCATTGATGGAACACTATAGTATGCTTAAGTGGTTATGGTGCCAGGAGTGCTCTAGTCCCCTCCCCATTGTAAGAAGTGAAACTGTGTTTATGGTTTGTGGAGGGTCCCTTTACAAAATAAGCATAGCTCTAATAGCATCCAGCAGGGATGAAGTTATAATATATCGAGAATCACAAATTAAATGACAATGAATTGATAAATAACTATACAAAAGTATCACTCAGTGATTTTAACCTGCTGTATTATTATTATTTTATTATTTATATAGCGCCATCAGATTCCGTAGCGCTGTACAATGGGTTGAATGTATCTGGACTGACAGCAGCATTTATAAAAACATTTCAATTTTCATACAAATAGTTACCAAGGAATTAGCTTTCTAACAATATTACATTAAAATATATAATACTACTCCTATATAAAAAAAAAATACCTGAATTAAGTGAAGATTATATCTCCCTTCACTTGATCAAATGAAGGTCAAGGGGGACAACATCTTCACTTGATAATTGACACCTGCCTTACATACACAGGAAATCATGTTAATGCTCTCATGTATGCATATTTCAGGGACCTTTTCCATCCTATTATTATTCACATTAATAATATCTAGTCATTAACCCCTTAACGACGAGTGACAGACAAGGTCCGTCACTCAGGGGATTGCCATAAAGACGAGTGACGGACCTTGTCCGTCAACCGTTAAAATTAACCCCGGATCGCCGCTATACCGGCGATCGCGGGGTTAATGGTGCTCCGTTCTGCCTCTGTACTAGAGGCAGACCAGGAGCACCCGATAGTGCTGCCCCAGCACATGTGCTCGCTCTGACAGTCTGTCAGAGTGAGCACATGTGCTGCATATACTCACCTTCCACCTCCCTGCACTTCCTGGTTCTGTGTGAAGTGCAGGGAGACGGATCCGTGATGATCCTGCCGCCATGTTAAAAAAAACAAATAAAGTTTATTTAAAATCCCATCCCCCTTTAACCATTTTAATTAAAAATTAACCCCTTCCCTGCCAATTGATCACAGTGATCAATTGGCAGGGATTACATTTTACTGTCATCTGATTTATTTTTTTTACCCCTGAGGGTCAATTCTTTTTTTTTTTAACCCTCAGGGGTTACATTTATTTAATTAATTAATTTAAATATTTTTAAATTATATATTTAGCTAGCTGGGGTGGGTGGAAGTTAGTGGGGAATTGGGGGATTTGGTGTTAGGCTAACTAGGAGTTAACATTAAAAAAGTTTTGAAATAAACTTTAAAAAGTTAAAAATTAAGCTAAACAAAAAGTTTTAATAACATTTAAACAAAAAATAAAAAAACACCCCCCTTTACCTAGTCCAAATAAAAATGAATCCCTTCCCTGCCAGTCTATCACTGCCTACAGTGATCAAAATACAGATCACAGTATTATACTGTGATCTAATTTTTTTTAACCCCTGAGGATTAATTTTTATTTATTTTTTAACCCTCAGGGGTTCAATTTATTTAATTAATTAATTTAAATATTTTATAATTATATATTTTGCTAGCTGGGGTGGGTGGGAGTTATGGGAAAATGGGGAATTTACTGTTAGTGCTGCGTACTGCTAGTTAGGGGTTAACGGTAAAAAAAAAAGCTTAGAAAAATGTTAAATCTGTAAAAAAGTTTTAAGAAAGTTTAGAAAAGTTTAAAAAAAATTTATAAGCAAAACAAAAGTTTAAAAACTAGTTTTTAAAAGTAAAAAAGTTATAAAAAGTAAAAAAATACATTTTAAAAACGCTCATTACCACTACACCTGGAACAAACTAGAGAAAAAATTATCCCACGCCAAGGTTCAAAATATGCCTTTTGAATTACCCCAGGGTGTATTCTTTAATAAATAGTATGTGTTTGTGGGGAAGTTTCAATAACCAACCGTCTAAACTATTCCAAATTGGAACATGGACACAGCGTAAAACTTCAAAGTTAGAAAAAAAACTGAATGGCTGCGTCTCAAATGCTGTACTCAGACGACATAGCTGAGCAACATATGAAGTATTATACAGTCGTAGCACACATAAGGTTTGCAAAATATACTGTGCAAACTCACTTTGTATGTCAAAAAGGCAGAAAAAACACTTATTACCACTACACTAGTAGTACAAGCTAGCGGAAAAATGATCCCACGCTAAGGTTCAAAATATGCCTTTTGAAATACCCTGGGATGTCTTCTTTAAGACATGGTATGGCTTTATGGGGTATTTGGATTATATAGCCTGGTAAAATACTCTATAATGGGACAGCGTAAAAATGTAAAGTTTGAAAAAAACTGGAATGGCTGTGTCCCAAATGTGCCCCCCTCCAATGTCCACATATACCTGGCAAAGGTACATAGAGGGGTATTGCTGTACTCAGCCGACATAGCTGAGCAACATATGAAGTATTCAGGGCCGGATTAACATAGGGGCTGATGGAGCTGCAGCTCCAGGCCCAGGCCCATGGAATAGGCCCATTAAAAAAAAAAAATTTTTTTTTTTACACACACTACTCTCAGGTTTGCCACCTGACTGGTATTTTACCAGTATTTGAGGCTGCCTGGCCATGCCGGTATTTCAGTAATACCGGCAATAGAAGATACAGGTATTTTTCTCAGTATAAACGGAGATTACTCTGTAATACCAGCACTAACCAGTAGGGGTCACTGTGTGTGGAGAGAGGCAGGGATAGGAAGTTACAGCACATCCCTCCCTGCCTCTCTCTCCTCACTGATCCGCAGGGGAGCAGCTACACAGCACAGAGAGTCCAGACAGCAGCTCCCAGCCTGCAGAGACAGCCTATAGCTCAGGTAAGTGAAGTATGGGGGGAAAGGCAGCAGGGAGACATGGGGACACGGAGACACTAGGGGACACTGAAGAACTAGGGGACACTGTGAGATATGGGGATGCTGAGACACATGGGGACATTGGGAGACACACTGAGACACAGAGACACATGGGACACAGTGTCTCCATGCCTCCAAGCCAGTGTCCCTATTGTCTCAGTGTCCCCTAGTCTCCCAGTGTCTATATCCCCATGTCTTTCAGTGTCCCTAGTGTCTCAGGGTCACCATGTCTCCCAGTGTCCCCAAATGTCTGTGTCCCCATGTCTCCCAGTGTCCACATGTCTCCCAGCCAGTCCCCCTAGTGTCTCAGTGTCCCTATGTCTCCCACCCAGTGTCTCTAGTGTCTGTGTCCCCATGTCTCCCAGTGTCTGTGTCCCATATCTCTGTGTTCATAGTGTCCCCAAATGTCCCCATGTCTCCCAGTGTCCCCAAGTGTCTCCATGCCTGTGTCTCCATGCCTCCCAGCCAGTGTCCCTAGTGTCTCAGTATCCCCATGTCTCTAAGTGTCCCTAGTGTCTTAGTGTCCCTAGTGTCTTCCAGTGTCTGTGTCCCTAGTGTCTATGTCCCCATTTCTCCCAGTGTCCCCATTGACTTCCTGCTTCACTGGACACTGCTGTTAGAGGGTATGGATTTACTTGAAAGATTAAAGCATAAATTAGAGAGAGATTAGCATAGAGTATGTGTTTTCGTAAAGCTGCATCCTTCGAGTTTCCCTCCAACACCATCTCCATTAGATACTTGACGCTTGAGAGGTATGACTGTTTTAGTGTCTATGGTCGATAAGATTCTTGTCATGACTACTAGTGTGGTCCGGCACGCAGAACTATGTAACATCTACATAGACAGAACAGAAAATGATAAAACGTAAACCGGTCCTTAGAATGGCCGGACTAATACGTTAAAAACAGAGAATGGTCAAGGGAGCCAGAAATATACAATACCATTTAACAAGCCAAGTCAGGGAAGCCAGGAATCAGAATAGTCATGAATAACCAAGGTCAAAATACTGGGAATATCAAAAACAGGACAAGAAAATGCACTCTCAGGATTCAGGAACCAGGAACGAAAACCACGACAGGGCAATAACCTAGGTTAAATATCCCTCTGGCCTCTGACTGCAGAACGTGTGTGTGTGTGTGTGTGACCCTGGGGGGCAGAGCTATATCTGGCTGCAACCGCGTGTTCGGCACCATCTTGAACCCGGGCAGGCAGCCAGGAGAACCCGGCATAGCGGCTCCCAACTCGCCGCTGAGCAGGTAAGCTCAGTTCATTGGCGCGGTCACACTGGTCCGGTGCGACTGCACCTCGCGGCGAGCCGGGGGCCGTGACAATTCTGTAATTAGGCCCCATCATAATTGTCAGCACCAGGCCCACTGGGCTCTTAATCTGGCCCTGGAAGTATTATACACTGGTAGCACACATAAGGTTTGCAAAATATACTGTGCAAACTCACTTTGTGTGTCAAAAAGGCAGAAAAAACACTTATTACCACTACACTTGGTACAAGCTAGTAGAAAAATTATCCCACGCTAAGCTTCAAAATATACCTTTTGAAATACCCTGGGGTGTCTACTTTAAGAAATGGTAGGCCTTTGTGGGGTAGTTTGAATTTAAACCCTGCTAAGATGCTTGGAAATTGCACATAGGCCCAGCATCAAAATTGAAAGTTCGGTAAAAACTGATATGGCCTGGTCTCCTATATGGCACTGTAGCTTCACAAAATAGTGCCAAAAACATTAATTGGGGGTG